AAAGCCTGAAGAGTTTTTGTGCTCTGACTCGATCTTTGAGTTTCGTGTAAAAAGTTGTATGTGCCTGGATGGTCAACTATATAAGTAGGCCTTTGTGTACTTTGCTGGCCCAAAACCCAAGGCATCAATGTGGAGTGATTTATGCTCTGGCGAAAATGGAGGAGATCATGGTGAATGCTGGGCAACTCGGTGCCCAACTATGTGTGAGCTTCTGTTCATTCGGACATTGTGACCCGATCGAATACCCGGTGTGATCTTGGTGACCTAGGCGATTGCTTTCGGATCTTGAGCGATTGCACTTTGAGACAGCGTACATGATATATAGAGCATCGTACAATCACCTGAGCAGTTGGTCGCTGCAGCGTGGCGTCTGCAGATGGCCTTGCAGGCCAAAACAACACCAGCTCGAACATCTGACGTTCGATAGCCTTCCCCTCAATCCTAGATATCTACACAACTTTTTAAACGAAGACGCCATACGTAGAACCAAAGCCCTTGCGAAGACTTCTCACCCCGCGCACATGTCGCGACACACTTTGTTCAAGTACGTTTTACAGCTTTCGTTGCAGTGGCGATGAGAAAAAGTGGGCCAGATCGACCGCTTTAATTCAGATATCAGGGCGACGTCGATGACACCGCATATATACACAAGATCCAACAAAGTTCCGACTCTGTTTCAGGCTTTGGGTGCCTGCCGGAACATGTTAAGGCAAAGGTTCTCGTTGGACGCGCCAATTCTGATGCTCATGATGCACGTTCGTTTTAATATAGATGTGCTTTTCATTTTTTCGATTCAAATCAAGGAGTTTTTCAGCGACCACCAAGAGGTCGATTAACTAAGCGGCTTCTCAGTTGTAAAGTGCAACAACAGGCTTCTCAGAAAAGCCGAACAACACGTCCTGGTAAACCCTAAACCCTAAACCCTAAACCCTAAACCCTAAACCCTAAACCCTAAACCCTAAACCCTAAACCCTAAACCCTAAACCCTAACCCTAAAGTTTAGGCCCTAAACCCTACACCCTGAACTCGTCAGACCACACGCCTGATCAGCAGCAAGGCCGCGATGAAGACAATCGCTAGACTTCCGCACGCTATGAGGATGACCAGGATGCCTGGCGGTTTAGGGTGTAGGGTTTGGGGTTTAGGGTTGAGGGTTTAGGGCCTAGGGAGCAAGGAACGAACATCCGAAAAGAGGGGTACCCTTTTTGAAGGGTTCCCTTCAAGAGGATTTTGTATTCTATTTGGGGGGGTATATCAACGGGGTCCCCCTACTTTGGGAAGTACCCATGTAGATTGAATTACAGCTCATCTCTGCGAAACATCTCCCAGGCACTTCGGGACACTTCGTGAACCGAACCCTGCATCGGGCCTGATGGCTTTCCTTGGCTGAGCTGCGGTGGTTGGGGTTCGGGGACCAGTGATGACAAGGGCAAAAAGACTACGCAAGACCATAAGAGATCAGCTTTTGTTTCCACCCACCCTAGCCGACCTGGGTCGGACCCACTGACTTCGCGGCCTCCATGATGAGCAAGTAGACGTGGGTCGGTACCACGCCCAAAACCCTAAACCCTAAACAGGCAAAACTTGTTAACTGGAGCCCGGAAGTTTCCTAGAAGCTGCCCTCAACTTGAGCCTTGAGCAAAAAGTAGGCTTGTGAGCTTTTTTACTTTAGGGCCACAGAGCCACGCAGCTCTGACTCATCTTCCACGCCTTTACGCAACATTGGCTGAAAACTGCAGCCACGGCTCTTGGCGCCTCTTTCTGTGCTCGGACGCCGACGAGAAATGCAGCAAGCCTAAGTGCCAATCCATACCGGAGGCTGAATCATCGCCGAGACTTTCCCCTTTATGATCTCTTATCAAGCTAGCAGAAACTCCAATTATTCCATCTCTTGGAGCAATGGCATGGCAATGGCATGGGCTGGACCTCATGGGATGAACTGTTCGTGTCCTGCAGGCCACCTTTTCCTACCTTCCCCAAAAGCCAGCTGGGCTGCTGGCAACATCGCGAGAAGCTGCTTTGGCGATGCTGTGGCCATCATGGCTGTACGGCTAGAGCAGCCTGCAGGAGAACACAACAATCTTGGAACCATGCGCCGACAATCGCCCCACCACCCCCCCTCGTGTGAACATCCCCTTGGGGTAGGTAACGGTATGTATGTATATACGATATGCGAACCAATCCCCTCATGGGCCCAATCCAGCGGCAAGTGGGTTTGTAGCCTGAACTCACAACCGTTCATTGTTGAAAAGCCGTAAGCCTATGCTGCCGAGTCCCTGAGCAAGTCACCCCTAAGAAGCTCTGACAAGCCATAAGCCCCAAACTTTATGTAAAACCCTAGAAACCCTATAAACCCTCTTTTTACCCCAGTCCACTCCAGGCCTGGCCCTCCAAGTCACCCGCGGACTTTCGGGAGGCGCCAGTGGCTGAGGGGTTGAAACGGCTGAGGGACGACATTGGCGACATGCCCTTCTTTGGTATCCCTAAGCCCTTGTAACCCCAAACCCAAAACCCCAAACCCCGAACCCTGAAGCCGGACGATTCGTCGACATGTAGAACGATGCTGGGCAAGCAAAAAAATCATGATACCATTCAGATATATTTATATATAGTTTAATCAGCACTGAAAACCAAACAGTCATAATATTACATGCTTTTAAGAATATATGGTTCCCAATCTGGAGTATACAATTCAAATACACATGTACCAATAGTGCCACGTCACGTGCACAATAAGTCAGCCCCTTAAGGGTTTTGGGGACCCTTTTTGAAGATGCTTAAGGGGAAAAGTATAAGGGCCATAATGGGAGTATATTGAGGGGAACCTTTAGGGATACAACCTTGGGGGCACGAATCAAAAAGCCCCAAACCCGAAACCCTAAGCGAATGTTGGGGTGTGCGACCTCGCAAGCAGGTCCCAAGCATGTCGGGTTGACTCTCCATTTCAGTGCATGCCTTTGTTTGCACTAGTCCCAGGCAACCTGGAAAAATAACCATGCTGTCGGGGATCCTAGTGAACTTTCATGCCAACAGTACATTATCATGCCGCAACTTCAGGACTTTCGCGGCGACACCCTCTCTTTGTATACGGGGGAACATCCCACACCCTACAGTTTGGACAGAAAGGTCTTCAAAGCAACACACTCGAGACCAGGCCGTACACGCTTTGGCACTAAAACGACGTGTCTGGACTGTACGGGCAGGGACAGGGATGTTGCACCCAGGACTTTTATCGAAGAAGGACCGTGATTCGCCTGTACTGTACTTGTGACTAGTGGGCCCCTGCTTGTAGCGGGTGAGACAGCTAGGTTGAAACCCTCAACTCTAAACCCTAAGCACGGAAGGTGAACCACCGCTTGTCGACTGCCCTCACATCAGCTGCAAGATCGACCTCAGGGGGAATTGCACGACTGCTGGATCCCTTTTTGCATTCAGGGTTTAGGGTTTAGGGGAATGCCCTGAACCCTTTCCACCCAAGTGCTCGCGACTTCTTTATTTGCGAGGTGTATGAAAGGGTGTGATCTGCAGCCTCAACTAAGGGACACTGCGGGAAGCGCCGAGGGCCAGGCCCTTCAGCAACATCTCCTTGGTGAAAGGCACGAATCAATCAGTGCTACGCGTTTGCTACGAGTCTCCTGGAACATCATGTTGCAGCTGCTCTGTCCTGGACTATGGGTGTAGCCTATGTAACAACCCTAAACCCTATAGCTTAACCCCAAACCCTTAACCCTTTTGCAGCAGGCTTGGAAGGGTACGCCAGGACATGTTCAGGCCATGCAGTCTTCACAGGAGCTTCCAAGGCCTCCAGTTTCTGAACCCTTAACCCTGAACCGCCTAAACCCCTAAAACCCTAAACCCCTAAACAAGGCCGAGCGTCGTAGACTCGATGGGCGTACTGCATCACTGCTGCGTCGCCGGAGGCTCCACGCAAACATTGACCTGCGCAGCTCCAACTCCCAAAGCGCACTGCCCCGAAGCCTAAACCCTAAACCCTAAACCCTAAACCCTAAACCCTAAACCCTAAACCCTAAACCCTTTTGAAAGGTGAGAAAGGTCAGGTGCTGCCAACTCAGCCTCCCAGTGCTGCAGTATATGGGGGTTTCCGAAAATAGGGGTACCCTTTTTTGGGGGTCCCTTTAAGGGGATTCTGGTCCATTTAGGGTATAAACGGGGTACCCCTATTTTGGGAAATGCCCCTGTCTCCGTTCAAAATCAGTCTGAGCTCCGTGCATTTGTTGCACCGCTGGCGACGAGGGAAGTTGATGTTGCCTTAGGACATGCTCCGAACTCCCTCGCCAATCCTGACGTGTAGTTTGGAATGGCTTAGGGCTTATAGGGTTCATAGGGTGTAGAGGCTTTAGAGGTTTCAGAGGGTTTGTAGGGTTTGGGTTTAGGGTCTAGGGCAGGGTAGAACCCCCAAACCCTTCACCGCCAGATGAACTTCATACCCTGTTTACCCTAAACTCTAAACTCTAAACCGCCAGATGAACTCCATACTTGTGGTCGAGATGCCGCAGCCTTCACAGCGCCAGTTGCCGTCCTGCGCCCCCCCCCCCCCCCGTGCGTCAGGGTTTAGGGTTTAGGGTTTAATTAGGGTTTGCCGAAAACCCACTACTACATGCACAGACACACACACACAGAGAGAAGGGTCTAACGGCTATAGAGTGTCTATCCTAAGCTCATAATCTCGATGGCTCGGCATCCTCAAGCGGGATGCGCTAGCAGTTTAGGCTTCGGCTTTTCGGGTTATGGGGTTAGGGAAATGATGAGAGAACCATCAGGCGCAATGTAGAATGACACAGCTTTCAGATGCTCACCAGTTTGGGACGCGGCCGACCTTTTTATCCGCCGACCCAGCGCTTGCGCAAGCAACGCGGCAGATGTCTTTGAGACTCGTGCGGACAGAGCTGCTTCCTGGCCAGCGGCCAAGCACCGAATGGGCAAGAGACCGTACACCCTAAACCCTCAACCTTACTTGAACCCTACCGGACCGTTACCCCTCACGGGAATTGGATCCCAAAAGGCTTGCAGTTCTCGTTGTTGCACTGCTCAGGGAAATCGTAGCCCAGGCAGACGAAGTCCTGCGCGTACACCTGGCGGTGGCACTTCGGGCCCTAAGCCCTCAGAAGCCCTTCTCCCCAAACCCTAAACCCTAAACCCTAAACCCTAAACCCTGAACCCTAAACCCTGAACCCTGAGCTCTCAGGCTATATTCACTCCAAAGCCCTTTTCAACCCCTTCAGGCGGAAGTCACAAGCCCCTCGCCCCTGTTTCACCCTGGATGCCTAAGCCCTACCCTAAATTACCCTTGTTTGAACCCTAAACCCTTTTTTTCTGAATTCTCACTGGTCGTCTGCAGAAACATCCAGGCTTCCGGCAATTTTTGGGCTTAGGGGCTTTAGGGTTTGGGGGGGGTCTAATGTTTGGAGGGGGCGGATAAGGGTTTAGGTTTGGGGATGTTTGGGGATGTTTTGGGTTTAGTGCGACTGAGAGCCATATTTGCAGACAAGAGCTACCTTGCTAGAACCTTCTGCCAACTCGCCCTTGGATTCCTCAGGGCGAAGAAGTTGAGACCTTGCAGAAATCCATCCACCCCCTATAAACCCTACGAACCCTAAACCCTAAACCCTAAACCCCAAACCCCAAACCCCAAACCCCAAACCCCAAACCCTAAACCCTAAACCCGAAGCCGCCTTGCAGACGGAGCAGATTGTGGGTATGTGGGCGAAGATGGCATTGAAGTACTGCTGCTTCAGGTCGCTATCGCCACTGGAATTCTCCTCCATCGCCTCATATGGCTCATGTTAGGGTTTAGGGTTTAGGGTTTAGGGTTTAGGGTTTAGGGTTTAGGGTTTAGGGTTTAGGGTTTAGGGTTTAGGGTTTAGGGTTTAGGGTTTAGGGTTTAGGGTTTAGGGTGTAGGGTTTAAGGTTTAGGGTTAGGCGGGTTTAGGGTTTAGGGTTTGGGCTCTCTAATGATTTAATACTCCTTGTCATGTTCGCGTTCGGGTTTAGGGTCTGGGATGTGGGGTTTGGGGTTTGAAGTTTGGGGTTTAAGCTTATACTTGACGAACTATTGCTTAAGGGGTATTGCGCTGGCTCCCCGGGAGAGTTGCATGACCTAGGCCCGAGGAGCCCTTTGTGAAAAAAGGACCCCAAGGGAAGGGCCTCCTGTCCATGTATGGATGCCCTAAACGGAAATCTGACCACTAGGGTATTTACCCTTATAAGAAGAATAGATTGCCCCTTTTTGTACGTTCTTAAGCAAATACTAGGTGAGTACCAGGGGTGGGCCAAGACATCCCAAAGCCCACTCCCTAAACCTTGAACCCGAAAACCCTAAACCCTTTAAACTTTTTAAGGCTGGAACTGAGGCCAGCTCAGCAACCCAAAAGCCTATAAACCCTAAACCCTTCTTTAAGACTGGAGCTGAAGCCAGCGCAGCAAACCTGAAACCTAAACCCTAAACCCTAAACCCTGAGCGCAGGCCTGCAGGTCGATCTGCGTGAGCCGGCCGAGCTCCTGGCCCGGGAAAAAACGAAGAGGAAGCCGAAGGGTTTAGTAGGATAGGGTTTAGGGTTTAGGGTTTAGGGTTTAGGGTTTAGGGTTTAGGGTTTAGGGTTTAGGGTTTAGGGTTTAGGGTTTAGGGTTTAGGGTTTAGGGTCTAGGGTCTAGGGTGTAGGGTTTTAGGGTTTTGGGGTTTTAGGGTTTTCGGGTTTAGAGTTCAGGGTTTAGGGTTGCCGTGACGTCTACTTGGGGGTTTACGAAAATAAAGGGACCCCAAATAGGAGTCCCCAGAGGGTAGGATTCCCTTAGAATAAGGTGCCCCTACTTTCGGAAACCCTCACTTGGAGGTTCAGTGCCACATAGAGAAGTAGGGTGCAGTGTTACAAACCAACTCCAGCTAGCCCTCTTGGAGCCCTCCTTGTATGAATCCACGAACCTCCATGTAGAATTCAAGGTTTAGGGAGGGCTTCGTCTGCAGCATAAAGAGACCAAAGTCTCGAAGCATCACCCGTCGCGCTTGCGCAGACAGGCCTAGATGCACAAGACTGTGGCGTTTGGAAAACAAAATGATCATGTCCAACCTGGGGGCGTCTATAATACCATGTACCCCTTACAGTTAGGGCACCCACCAGGCCACCAGAGTGCACACACATCTAGCTAGAATCATGGCTTCGCGTGACCGGCCAATACGCTGAACAGCCAATGCGCTTCGTCGCAACTCGCAACCGAAGGCTGAACGCCATGCAACCAAATTGTAGGCGGTTCTGATTAGCACCTTGCCTTAAACCCTTAGCCCTAAAACATGATTAACACCATGTTGCCTTAAACCCTTAGCCCTAAAACATGATTAACACCCATGTTGCCTTAACCTAAGCCCTAATTTCTGACTAGCCGCAAGCCTCGAGATCCCGGCTGAAGTTTGCCACCTCCAGGAGGAAGTCCCAGGCTATCGGGTTGCCAGCCCTGCAGATTAAAGTGGGTTTAGGGTTTATGGTTCAGGGTTTAGGGTATATGTATATATAATCTATATATATGTATATATACATATATTTTTTCATATATGTATTTCTTTATTTCTTTACTTATCTGTGTTTGTAGATGAATGTATGTACATATTATATAGATATACGCACATGTATACATGCAGATCTATGTTTTGTTATATATATATATATATACACGTACTTCTCGGAATGGGGTTGCTAGTAGGGTTCCCCGCGCAAATAGGGGGCACCTTTGTCGGATGCAGGTCTTGGGTCAGTTAAATTTTTGGCGTCTGCGCACTGCAGGGTTTAGGGTGTCCGGTTTACAGGGTTTAGGGTTTAGGGTTTAGGGTTTAGGATTTAGGGTTTAGGGTTTAGGTATGCCGCCATGTGGCATGTCAGTCGCAGAGAGGAAGTAGCTCTGCGTCGCATGCTCGCAGCTCCTGCGCCAAATGTGACCCGATCTACATGTCACTGCAGGTCTGTCGGTCCTACCTCAAGAACCCCATCTACTTTTGTTACGCTGTTGGTTGCCTAAGAATCCTATAAGGGGGGTTGTACAGAAACAGCCTGCAAGTAAGTACCTTTTGGGTTCTTATGGTGCTTTGCCCTACACATCCCTTGTATATACCTTCTCTATGCTCTGTATTTTCCTGCAGCCCTAAAAGGGCCACTTTTTGATAACCCCTGTGGGCCCCTTCTTAGAAGTAGCTGAAGGCATGACGCCTTCTGTATGGTTTAGGGTCTATAGGGTTTAGGGTTTAGGCTGGTGAACCCGGTGGGGGGAGTGGGGTGGGTGGGGGGGTGGGGTGGGGGTGGTTGGGTGGGCATTTGTATTTTGATAGAAATCGGGGTGGGGCGAGGGGGGCTGCTAGAAGTTGCGCCGATGGGCAAAATGGGCATACAAGAGACCAAAAGCCTACTTTCTCATCTTGGAGTCCTGGTCCCTGGTAGAAGGGCATGCTTCTTGGTTGGATACGAATAAGAGACCGTGTAGGGCTGGCTTAAATTACCACTGAAGTTCTTTGCAGTTCCGATTCCGTGATGAAACTGCATTTGCTGGAATTCCGCCAAGCGCATGACTCAGTTTCGTCCGTTCGAGGAACTGCGCAGCAGAAAGGAAGTGGAAAGGCGTTCTAGGGCAAAGGGCTCAGGGCTTAAATTGGGCCTGATTCATACAAGTGTAGCACGATACAGTGTCGTCTTGATGCCCTGGCTTCAGAGCTTCTTTTGCAAACGTCTCGCGCTCTGTCGGTGACACTGGCTCGCACACGACGGCGCGCAGTTGCAAAGCAGAACACCTGAAAACTCCACAGCTCAGGCACTGGTGTCCTCCCAATACCCGGGCACTTCGTTGAAGTTGGTGGCTGTGAAGCCACCATCTACGTACAACGTCTGCCCGGTTATGAAAGAGGCGGCATCGCTTGCCAGGAATGCAATGGGGCGAGCGACGTCCACCACTTCTCCCAAACGTTTCAATGGCTTCCTCTGCTTGAAGGCTTCAAGCAGCGTGCTCGAACCCTGCACCAGCTCTGTCTGGATCAGGCCAGGGGCCACGGCATTGACACGGATGCCAAACCGTGCCCACTCTACCGCCAGGTTTCGGGTCATCTGGTCCATTGCCGCCTTGGAGGCAGCGTAAGGGAAGCCCGTGGGTATGTGCCCGCGGCCCGCCACAGAAGAGATGTTCACCACAGCAGCCCCTCCACGGCGTCGCTCGCGGCTTGCCGCGCTTGCCCTTCGAAGCAGGGGAAGCGCAGCTTGCGAGAGCCACATGCAGCTCATAAAATTGGTGCCGAACACCTTCTCGAAGTCCTCCTGGTCGTAGTCCTCTGCCTTCTTGCGAATATTGGTGCCGCAGTTGTTGACCAATATATCCAGTTCCTGCCAAGGAAGCTTCTGGATCAGCGTCCTGACGCCTTCCTTGTCGGATCCCGGAACACACTCTTCAAACCCTAAACCCTAAACCCTAAACCCTAAACCCTAAACCCTGAACCGCTTTATTGCATGGAGCTCCAGGCTCAACGACACACCCAGGGTTGGCGGCATGAAGGCCCAGGGGGCCCAAATACACCCACCCTTCCACCCATCTGCGAAACCTAAGCCCAACGCCCAAAAAAGCCAACCTCCCCAAACCAACCCCTATACAGACCGAAAGGGCCTTTTTTTGAAAAGCCCTCGCCGCCCTAACCCCCGAGCTGCCTGTGTGGAGAGATCCGCTGCGATCGCATGGCAGCGGCCACCAGCAGCCAGCCGTGCTCGGGTGGCCTCCAGGTCGTCCGCGCCCCGGGCGCAGATGGCCACCTGCTTACCAGGCCTTTCGGGCTTTAGGGGGTCTTGAGTCGGCCCACCTGGAAGGACTCTTTCAATCTAAAAGCGCAAAGAGTGATCTTGAAATGATTATAGAGAATCCTGCCTACCATCGTAGGGAATCCTGTTTACCACGCTGCAACAGCCCTCCAAGTCCTAGAAACCCCAGGTTCCCCTAAACTAAATACACCCTAGACCTGCCCCCAACAAGAACCCGTTTTGACCACGGAACAAAAATCTCCCTAGCTAAGCCCTATTGAGACCCTTTTTGCATCCTAACTCCTAGATCCTCAAACCCTAAACCCTAAACCTTATAAACCCTAAACCCTAAACCCTAAACCCCAACTTCCCTCTTCAAACTGCGCCTCCGCACCCAGGGCCAGCAAGAGCTCCGCCGCTGCAGAGCCGATGCCCCGGGAGCCCCCAGAGACCAAGGCCTTCGAGCCCTTCAAGTCCAAGCCTAAGGACCTCGGAGTTGTTTTCATTTTTTTTTGGGGGGAAAGGGTTTAGGGTTTAAGGTTTAGGGTTTAGGGTTTAGGGTTTAGGGTTTAGGGTTTAGAGTTCAGAGTTCAGGGTTTAGGGTTTAGGGCTTCTCTTCGGGTTTTTGCCACGTGGTACACTCCTCGATTCTTGTTGTTTCTTGATTATTATTATTATTTTTTTTTTTTTTTTTGGGGGGGGGGGGGGGCGTGTCTACAGAGTTGAGGGGTTTTGGGTTGTTCAAGCCCCCTGAAAGTAAAGCTGGCTATAAAGTCATGCGTATATCACACATAGGAACTCGGGACCGTGCAAACATATTTCCAAGTCGGCTACAGACAAAAAAAGGTTCAGGGCGTAGATTTGTGGTTTCTCTCCGATAGCCGTCCCCCCCCCCCCCCCCCCCCCCCCCCCCCCCAAAAAAAAACCCAAAAAATGAAAACTCTTGCAGGGAGCCTCATCTGCCAGCTCTGAACCCCGAACCCCAAACCCTAAAACCCCAAGACCCTAAAATACCAAACTCTCAAAAGGTCGACAGAATCAAAAGCGCGAGGATATAATCTTAGCCCTAAACCCTCAACCCCAAAACCGTAAAACCCTCGAAACCCTAAAACCCTAAACTCCCAAAAGACCCTAAACCCTAAAACACTAAAACCCTAGAACCCTAAAACCCTAAACTCCCAAAAGACCCTAAACCCTAAAACCCTAAACTCCCAAAAGACCCTAAACCCTAAAACCCTAAAACCCTAAACTCCCAAAAGACCCTAAAACCCTAAAACCCTAAGACCCTAAGACCCTAAGACCCTAAAACCCTAAAACCCTAAAACCCTAAAACCCTAAAACCCTAAGACCCCAAAACCCTAAAACCCTTAACGCCCAAAAGACCCTAAACCCTAAAACCCTAAAACCCTAAAACCCTAAAACCCTAAAACCCTAAACTCCCAAAAGACCCTAAACTCCCAAAAGACCCTAAAACCCTAAAACCCTAAAAACCCTAAGACCCTAAACTCCCAAAAGACCCTAAAACCCTAAACCCTAAATCCCTAAACTCCCAAAAGGCCGACAGCTTCCTTTAAACACCGAGCCCAGGGGGCTCCAACGGCTGCACGGCCCGGTCTCTCGAAGGCGGGGATCGGCTGCGGCACGCGCGCGACATTTTTTCGAGGGGTTTTAGGAGTGTTTCAGGGTTCATGGGGTTTAGGGTTTAGGGTTTAAGGGTTAAGGGTTTAGGGTTTAGGGTTTAGGGTTTAGGGTTTAAGGGTTTAGGGATGCTTAGGGTTTAGGGCGTTAAGCTGTGGCTCTCAAGTGGTCTGCGAGCCGTTGTCTCAAAAACGAAACAGGGGCAATACTGCTGTCATGCAGAGCCGAAACAGCAACGTCTGCAGCAGGGGCTGGAAGCAAACAACACCTTTGCGCAAAACGAGGTACTGAAGCCCAGTCATGCAGTCTGCAAGAGCCCGCGAACCTAATCCCCTAAAATCCTAAACCCTAAACCTTTTTTGCATCTGGACTCCTTCTAAACCCTGAACCCTGAACCCTGAACCCTGAACCCTAAACCCTAAACCCTAAACCCTAAACCTCAACAACTCCCCGCGCCCTTTATTCCGTGCCTCCATTGGCCCGGGAAGTCCCTCAAGAGCCGTTCCGCTTGTTGCTGCGCCTGCGCTTTCGAGAATCGGTCCGGGATTGGTCTACAGCCTCCAAAGAAGCTCGTGGGTTCAGGTTTAGGGTTTAGGGTTTAGGGTTTAGGGTTTAGGGTTTAGGGTTTAGGGTTTAGGGTTTAGGGAGTTCAGGGGTTAGTGCTTCTTGGCACCCGCATAGCTGGACGAACCACTCTGCAGGGATTCCGATAGCGACACTAGATCCGACAGTCAACCTTGAACGCATGTCCTCCCCAACCCAACAGCCAAGCACAGAGAAAACTAAAACCCAGTCCCCGCAAGGTAAGGAAGGACATTGTCGTCCGGATCGCTTAGTGCCCTTGAAAGTATTTAAGATTTAGGGGTGGTCGAGCGTTTTGATTTTGATCAAGCTCCAGGAGACGGGGCGGGTGGAGGGGGGGGGGGGGGTGTGTAGTTCAGGGCCCAGGACTTCCACAAAGGCTGTGCTATTATTGTAATAGTATATGAGAATGTTCGGATATATTTGTAGATTTGTAAAAAGACATGACGCAATATAACAAAAAAACGCTGTTGTTTGTGCATGCGTGATGTAGGCCTCACTGCACAGTGGACTACAGGGAAGGGCCAGTGCAGAACTGTGATTTCAGGGCATGGAAGGCACGGTGAAAACCAGGGCGCCATGTGAGGCCAAGCCTTCTCGACGACATGCATGCATGGTTGGCCACCACCTCAAGGCGGGAATCGGCGGGAATACTTCTAGTAGCATGACGCTTCGGCCCTGCAAGAACTCAGTCCCCTAAACCCAAAACCCTAAACCCTAAATCTTAAACACTAGACCCTAGACTGCCCTATTAAACCGCGAACTGGAGCAGCGAAAAGAAGCACCAGGGATCGCGCAGTATTGGTATGTCTTGCCCCCGGTCCTGGCCCTGCCACCCGCAAACCCAAACACCACTTTTTTAGAGCACTGACGCGCTCCAGAAACTTGTGGCCTTCGATTTGGGGTCTGACCCTGAACCCCTGAAAGACTCCAATCCCGCGTTAATGCAGCCTATAGTATCCGATAGTCTACGGCCCTCGGGCCCCAAGCCGACTTTGCACTCACGACACCATCCAGCCCCTGTGCATAGCAAGCTACACTCTACACCTCCAGACCGTGAACCTTAAGCCCACTGTTAACCCTAAAAGCCTAAAACCCTAAAACCCTCAAACCCTTAACATCCCTGACCCCATCGAAGGACCAAGCCCGACTGAGCATGCTGCAGCCAGGAAGGGCCAAATGCTCATCGACCGAGGCAAGGAATCGCCAGAGCGGATGGCGGAAGGTCGCGACTTTCCTGCGAGGGCGATCGAAGGGTCGGGCTTCTACTTAGGGTTTGGGGTTGAGGGTTTGGGGGTTTGGGGTTTTGGGCTTGGGTTGCTTCAGGGGTGCTCTTACTCTCACCCCCTTTTGCGAAGGTACCAGATCGGGGAAGCGCACAACAGCCCGAGGGGGTGCCCACGACTCGGCGAGGTGTGGTGCAGCGGGCCAACGATCTACCATAAAGCCTTAATGATTAAAACAGGGTTATGGGGATTATTCTGATATAGATATAAAGAGACCATAAGGGTTATACAGGGACCAGAAGGATAAAATCATTAGTAACTATCTAGTAATTCTTCTGACCCCTATATAGTTCACCTCTCAAGCCGCCAAAGGTCCATCTGGCATCCGTCAGACCCGACCGAAAGGATGTGGTCCAGTCGCAGCCTGCGCATGAGTGGCCACCGTGCTGTGTGCAATCTCCTGCTTGTGCACACCAAAGCCCTTAAGAATTCACCTCACAACCCAAAACTACTGAAGTCAAGCTTTATCAACTTAAGACCTTTAGCTCTCCTGCTTGTGCACACCAAAACCCTTCACCTCAAAACCCAACATGTCCGCCTCATCCGCATCTTTGTCTCGGTGACACACTGCTCATGTTGTGCAACTCATGCACTTATCGGTGGAAGTTCACTTGGTCATGGTATGTATAGATAATCCCACTTGTGCCGTTGCAGTTTCAAAACAGAACAAATCCAACAACAAAACTATGACCCCAATGTAGATGGCAAGTTAGAACCCCCCACATACTCTTAGAACCCTAAGAAAAACAATATTTTAATATCCTCTTGGGTTTTAAAAAAACAAAAATACAAACTGACGTCCCCCCCCCCCCCTTGATGCAGCACCTGGTAGGTTCCCTTGCGCTGTGCAGCTCGCCAAGTTCTTGTAGTGCGGCCCCAGAAAGATGGACCTGTTCGCCACCTTCCTTAGGCCATCTCACAAGCAATGCTGTAAGGAAAGGCAGGAAACGAATGTGGAGAGAAATCAAGAGCTGACCGCATATTCATGTTGAGAGCGGAGTGCTCTCAACATTGAACTGCACTTGGGGTGACGACAATCAAGAGCTCGTGAGCTCCACAAGTTCCAGCTCTGAACTCTCCACAGGATCCCCCCAGCCTCAGGTTTGCACTACGAAGCACCTTCTTGCAGGGGAGAGCCCCTTTCGATTCTATGTAGGAATATGTTTCTTGGCCGCCAGCGTAGCTGCCTAGCTGACTATTCACGTCTCAGGTTCAGTCGCGGCTGTGCATGACACCGACCAACCCACCCCTCCGTACCATAGGACACCTCCGTCAAAGGAGGGGCTTGTCGCAGACGGGGGTGATCGCAAGAGAACGACGTTGTTACGAACTCTCGTCCAAAAAACAAGCTCACATTTGGCGCGCAACCCGGTTGGAAGGTTAAGGTACGTTAGAATGTGTTGCGAAGCCTCCATTTTATGACCAAGGTGATGAAGGGGTTCCGGGGCTGGCTTGCACAAGCCATGTGAGAAAGTCTCCACAACGGCCGGCCTGCTGGACCACTCACCCTCATGGAACGACTGCAACTGAAAAACAAAAAAACAGAAGTTGAAGATTGCCGAGCAATGCTTCAAAGCGTGCGCAGGGGGTGAGCTCTGATAAGGCCAGACAAAAGCCAGACTTGAAGCCAAACCCGAAACCCCCACTTCTGCCAGACACCCTGCTGCAGCACAACTTGTCACAGCGGCGAGAGGGAGTTTGTGAGGCTGGTGGAGGCGCATTTCCACACCTCATGCTGAAGCCAAAGCACGTTTGGGGTTGTTCGGCCCTAAACCCTCAACCCTTTTTGCGGACTGCGAACAACTGTCAGGACAAGACAACCTAAACCCTGAACCCTAAACCCTAAACCCTACCCCGAAACCCTGAACCCTAAATCCTAACAGAAGGGCTTCTTTGTGTTGACGGGAACTCGCTGGATTCAGGTTTGGCTACAAAGGCAACAGCCCAAAACTTCGATACGAATTCTGGAGGCCCCGGGTCTGAAACCAAAGAGAGCCCGT